ATAACCACCTCATAAAGCCACCTCGTTCGCTGCGCTCACTTGGTGGCTTCATTCGGTGGTTATAGCAACTGACAAGGCTTTATCACACCATATTCACCTCGGGGCGGGTCATTAACCCTTAATTCACACCCTACATAGGCCAAATGCACTATGCTAGATAACTGAAGTATAATATGGTAGTAGAAAGAAGTACTAGACTATACTATATTACGTCTGGTCTCCAAGCAGAGGCTTGGGCTTCGGTTTATTTTTTGACGTGTTTCAGCATGTAAGATGTTTGCCAACATGCAATTTGTATATACCATTGGTTTACATGTAGGTCTGGACTTATAAGTGTATATTTTCAGATAGTATTTCCGAATTGCAGAACAAAATGTTGACATTCTGCAATACTGCAAAACACTGGAAAAAAAACTTTCTACCTCTGTGATCGTTACGTTTACTGTCAATGTTACGTACTGTCCTTCCGATCCAAATCTAGACCGATGTCGGTCCGTATTTAGCTCCCTGGTCCCTATCCAATGATCTCCAATTTTCCGAACCACGATTAGACTGGATACCAAGTTGTAAGCATAGAGTATCGGGGTCCAAATCACAGGATGGAGAGCCCCTGACTCAAACTGTGCTGGCTAGAACACTGTCACTGTTCTTCACCAAGATCTCAAATTCCTATCACTGTGTCATAAGGCGTCTCACGAAACGAGACTCTTTTCCGTTTAGATTTGATATCGTGTAAACATGGCTGCCTGTAACCCAAACGGTACTGGTATATACAGCTTACATATCCGACGCTCCTACTGAATCAGCTAAAAGCTTAAGGTCTAGACCCATCGGCCGGGTCAGTTGGTAGCGCCTATAAACCCCCCCCTACGGTTACCGGCATCGTTTTAAGTTTTGGGCCTGCATGGGGGGTAGTGATTACGAATTACGCAAAATTTCCGCCGCCAATTACGAATTACGTTTAAGTCTAAGATTTGATTACGACTTTACGCTTTGCATGCAGTTACCGTACTATTACGACTTACGTTGATTTCTGAAGAGGCTGCCTACGGATTACGAAGACTATAAAAACGGTCTGATTACGCCTTACGAAAAAGGACATGCACATTTATAAACAAGTTTCAATCCATCAGTAAACAACCAACCAGCCAACCAGCCAGCCAATCAACTTGTCTTCGTAACGTTACAGTTCCAAGGACAGCTTCTAGGCGTTCAAATTACGAATGTATCGTTTTTGGTATAAGTAAGTCAGGGAATGTCTTCCAACGAAATGACAAGGCAATTGAATACCTACAAAGACGGACACAAAGTCAATGAAGCTTATATATGAACAGGACATTGCATTTCCAAGAAAAGTCACTGCGCATAATGAGGTGTTCCAAAACACAGATTTTTCCCGTTGACAGCTGAAATCAAGCATATGATAACAACTTCCCAAAATACAAGAAGCCATACAAAGCACCTGCCATCTGGAAGGTATGCATAGGAGGTTATGGTAATTCAAGCATTCAGAAGAAGAAAAAAAACGCCAATGGATTTATGGTTCCTTCCCCCATACTTGTATCAGGGTAATAAGATTATGGGAAAATGAGGCCATGTTGATTTGATTATATGGATGACATCCGAGCGCGCATGAATTTTCGGCCGTTTTCAAAAAAAAAAAAAAGATTCAACCATGCTGTAAATCGTACAAAACAGTTGCAACATGAGCAAATATATGCTGTAAGTTGAAAAAAAGAAAATGATACCAATATCGTAGAAATCAAACGAAAAAGACGAAAATGTAAAGAAATGAATTTGAAGAGTAAATAATTAGCCATACCATACTCTGTGTCATTTGTTCAACCTTCATGACCACGTAGATTTCATAATGAAAGCAACTTTTTTTTGGCCAAAATTTTTTCATTCGCACGCTCGCATCAGGTTTGGGGTTCCCAGAGGATGTCATCCATATAATCAAATCAACATGGCCTAATTCTGAAAAAAATATTAAACCCTTCAGAGAGACAGGACTGATATGATTTCTGGCCTTTTGCGTCTATCTAATTTAATTTTGTTCCAGTCAAGCCACATCCTGTATTCACTCTTTGAACTGCCTAATATCATAATATCTGGGCACATAAACAACAAACCATTTGCCATATGCCAGGTACAAAATTTATTGTTATTACGTTCTGCAAAGCATGAGTAATGAATGGGTGGCGTCAAGTTGAAATGCATTTGATACAAGCTGAGATGTGCAACTTAAAATTACACCAGTTATACACTGTCTAACCAATACTTGTGTTCACTGCCATGTGTTTTAGTCATGATACTAGTGCAGAAAATCTAAGACTGTATGTAACACGCTGAGAAAGAAAGTCGAAAAATTTTTCTAACTGGCCAGGCTTTTCTGACAGCCACTCAACTACAATGGGGTGGTGTCTGTCTAGCCTCTACCAGGCTTCAGGAGGCGGCTGGAAATAATAGAAATCGACCAAATAGAGAGATAGCACGCCGGGGGAGTTGGTCTGCTGGGAGAGAACAGTTTGCCACTCCCAACTCTTCTCTCCCAGCAGATCAACCCCGGCGTGCTATATCTCTATATTTTGCCAATTTCTACTATTTCCAGCCGCCTCCCGAAGACTGGTAGAGGCTAGTGTCTGTCAGCGAGAAGCTTGGCTAATAATGTTTTTCTTTCCCAGCATCTGCTTACAAGATTCGTACAGAACAATTGTGTGACTCTTTGGAAAATATACTACATCATTTACTAAATGTTCCCCCTACTTCAAACATACTAGCAAAAAGGGAACTTTGCCCCCCCCCTCTCCCGCCAAGTAATACATTCTGCAGAAGGCAAAAAGTGTAGCGCTAACCTGGCATTATACAATGTACAATACTACGGTTTCTTCCCTTCAGGAAAAAATCTTTCACCATCAAATCATTTAAAAGCAAGAAAAAAATATACTAATACATGTAGTTATTTCTTTAAAAACAAAATTAACACTAGTCTTACACAATACAGTCACTGTGGTAAGCTGGTTCACGGTTTCGACTGCGCATGGGTGAGGTAAAAGCCCCTAACTGGTCTTGTCCAGACCATGCCTTATACCACCATGTCCAGACATGTTTTGTGTCTCAGACTTTCGTCTTTTTCGATGCATCACTCTGCGCATCAAACCATGAGTTTATTGAAATTCACGATTATTTGCTAATATCCATGGTTGAGGCCATTCACAATTTGGATGAAGCTACCACTACCAATGAAGAGTGATGATCGTGCTACCAGTTAATGGGTACATTAGAAACGGGGAATGTTCAGGGCTTGGAGATCTGACATCAGTCATTAGCCATTATTAGTGGGAAGAAGCAAGCTAGGAATACCCGAATTTCATTAGTCGTTGACACGATATAATCCCTAAGAAATACAATGTTATGCAGTTACGCATCAATTGGTTAGATTTGCATCAAATTCTCAAGTCTCTACTGCTCTCTACCTGTCATGAAGCAAACATTTACCGCTAAATTCAATTATTTTCATGAAGGGTACGTTTTTTTATGGCTAGACTTTTGCTGCGATGTTGACTTCTTTGTTCCTTCTACAAAGCAGGGCTCTAGCCAGCACCAGTTTTTCCGTCAGTTACCCGAACTTTGCGTCGTGTGACGGAAATCTTTTAAAACCAATCCGTCAACCTTGACAGACAAAATTAAGAAAAACCTTGGGTAAAAATATGCCCCTAGATTGCGAGTGCAAATGCGATGATGAACCTAGGCTGGCGGAAAAAACTTTCAAGCTGGCCAGAGCCCTGCCACAAAGGCCTAAGTCTGTTCAGTAGCTTCAGTTTCGGCCTCGGGTTCAGCCTGCACTGGCTGGTCCTCCGCAACTGTTTCTTCCTCCTGCAACAGAAAAACAAAAACAACTTATACATGTTGTGATGTATCCAAAATAGTTTCACCAGGTTGGCAACAGACTGTATAAGAAGGTTCTTGATTCAACAAGCAGAAGTGTGATGTAGTCAGGCTTGGATGGATAATCTGTGGGGCCGTGTTTAGAGTTAAAACTTTATATCCAAGTAACTACCAACACTTTCATGATAATTTGTGGGGTCGTATGGCATAACGGTATAGTGTTCGGCTCAGACCCAAGAGGACCCGGGTTCGAATCCTGCCCAATGCCACCGATCTTGTGCGACTTTCCTCACTTCACTCAGGTGTAAATTAGTCCATCGGATAGGACATTAAATAGAGGTCCCTTGTTTGGGAGAGCTACACCCCACGCACGTTAAAGCACTTATCGAAAAGAGTAGGGGTCCTTCCCAGTGAGAGTGGTTCAAATCTTACAATCCGGTCTAACGCAGCTTGTACTTACATGCACAAAACTGGTGTGTCACACCTAAAAAAGGCGGGTTACCGGTTATGCAAAACAAACAAACAAATGCACAAACAATCTACCTCAGTTGTCTGTTGTTCCCCGTCCTCCGTGACAGCAGGAGTCTCGACCATCTCAGCCCCTTCCTCTTCCTGTCCTTCCTCAGGTTCCTCCTCCTTAGCCTTCTTCTGCCGTTTCCTCTTCTGGGGCGTGGACTTGGGCGTGTTGCCTTTCCTCTTGCGAGGGCTCTTGGGCTTGCGTTTGGGCGTTTCGTCGATATCGTCCCCTGGCCTGTAGTCGGCATCAGAGTCTTCTGTAGAGATGCGAAAGTAGAAATATTGTCAGAGGAGCTTCAAAATTATCTAGAACTTTTTTTGCATTAACACATGTTTGCAAAACAATAATAGGGGAACATGGGGTCATGTGGCATAACGACAGAGCGTTCGGCTTGGAACCAAGAGGTCCCGAGTTTGAACCCTGCCATGCCACAGATCGTGTGCCCTTGGGAAAGGCACTTTACCTGAATTTCCTCACTTTACTGACAGGTGAAAATGAGTATATCTGTTGTCCGATCATGAGTTTGTTATCTGCATTAGTGGAGCATAAATAGGAGATAAAAAAACTTGAGTGTGCCATCACCATGTTTTGAAATAAATGTTGGAATATTTTCCAAATTTGAATAAGTCCCAATCTTTCGTCTTTTTGTTGGGCATTTGATTAAATCGTTCTTTGAAATAAATTCTACCAACACAGGTGGTGTCTGTGTGGTGTAGTGGATAGAGCATCCGACTGTCAAGCAAGAAGACCCAGGTTCAATCCCCAGGGTTGGACCCAGACATGTCCGGACTTGCACCCAGACGTTGTGCCCTTGGGAAAGGCACTTAACACGTATTTTCCCCCTCAGTTAGAGGGATCATGGGCCCTACTAGGGTTTGGGTTGGCGTTAGGAAGGGCATCCAGCCGTAAAAATCTTGCTCCAAAAAGACTTGCACTTGATGCAAGTACGTCTAACCCCTGTTTCGGGGAAAAATGACATTAGAATTGGATAGAAGAAGACAGGTGAGCTAGGATGGTTGTAGTTGTTCTGGACCTACCGTCCTGCGGCTCCATTTCTGCCATGTCCGCGCCCTGTCCGTCCATCTGCTGCGCCTCGATCTCGTCCATGGCCTGTTCAAACTCATGCTCGCCCTCCGACATGGAGTCCTCGTCGTCCAGGCGGTCCTGGAGCCGCGAGCCCCGGGCGCGGCCTCGCATGGCGGGCAGGACGGCGCTGGGGTCGTGCGCCTGCTCCACGTGTTTGCGCAGGTTGCCCTTGCGGGTGAAGGACTTGTCACAGTTGGTGCAGGCGTAGCGGGGAGGGGTGTAGCCTGGCGTGTGGTGAACCTGGTCAGGAAGAGAACAGAGATTGTAAAAAAACACCTTGTACCACACTGTGCTTAATTGTGAGTGAATTGTGAATTTAGCTCAATTAATTAGCCAAAAGCACTTACACAAATACAATAATATTTATATACAGGGTTTGAAATACTGGGTGCATGTGCACCAAAAATTGGAGTTGTGCACCCATTTTTTTCTGACATCTAAATGTCAGAAAAATTATAAATCTTTGTTGTTGTTGATCTTGAAGTTCCCATTTCAGATTCAAGCTCAGAAGAGGAGCAGTAAGATCTGTGATTAGGTTTAGTTTTATATGGTGCACCCAAAAATTTTTGTGCACCCGATTTTTTAGGTTGGGTACACCTGCGTACCTTGATGTGCTGCTTGAGAAGCTGCTCCTGTCTGAAGGTGTGGTCACACTGCACGCACACGAAGGGCTTCTCGCCGGTGTGGCAGCGCTTGTGGTTGATCAGGTGCCTCTCCTGCGTACAGCAGTAGTTACAGTCCTCACACCTGAACCGCTTCTCTCCCTGGAAACACCCGCAAATACATCAATCAGTCTTTCTCAAAATCAATAGACAGAACAATACAAAAAAGGGGAAGAATGATAATAAAATTAACAATCAGAAAACCATTGTACTGACCTGGTGTGTTTTAAGATGTTAGGTAAGGTTGTACTGAGATGTTGTACTGACCTGGTGTGTTTTGAGATGTTTGGTAAGGTTGTACTGACCTGGTGTGTTTTGAGATGTTTGGTAAGGTTGTACTTGTCGGGGAAGGCTGAGCTGCAGTACTTGCAGGTGAGCAGCTTGTCGCCTGTATGGAGTTTGCGGACGTGAGACTTGAGGTCACTCTTCCGCGTCAGGGCGGTGCCACAGATGTCACAGATGTAAGACGGCGCCGTTCCCAAGTGACGCTGAAAATGTGAAAAGATTCGTCAAATAACATGAAATTTGGCATGAAAGTAAAGGGGCTAAATACCCCCAGGTGTTTTTTTTTTGTGATACAGGCTTTTAGAATGGTTTAATTTGAGCTTTTTGGCTGTGTTATAGAAAATGTGCTATTGCAGTGTGTTACCATATTTGGGAATAAGTCATCAGAATGGCATGCAGAGCAAGCAACCAATAGGCATACAGCTTTCCTCTAATCTTCTTGCTGATTGGCTGTTGGGATTTGATTGGGTTAACTCAATTTACAACTGTAGAAATCCATGCCATATTCACAGTATTAACTGCATTTAAGTGTTTTTTTTTAGGTATGTCAAGCTTTCCTGCTCCAGCATTGGAATGCTGGGCATAAACACTTGTTTTTATCTTCAGTTTGCATAAATGCAATTTAAATCCTAACCAATAATGTAGGTGATAGCTATCCAACTGTTGTCACTTCATACTATAGTTATATCAATGTAAAGAATTGTTTTCCTTGTATTTCTCCTTTCCCTGCCATGTCGTGAAATGTGGCAAAGCCATGCTGAATTTGCTCCAAAGCAAATGTCGGCCTTTCTAGTTTCAGTCCAGTTTATAGTTGTTAACAGTCCCTGCAGCATATAAAACTCCACATGCATCTCTCATGTACATATAAACCTGGTGTACATGGACCAGTACAGGTTAGGAGCAGGTAGACATCAGAAATACCTGCACAGCTCCAATTTTACCTGCACTAACCTGCATATACCCAGTACATGGACCAGTGTAGGCTAGGTGCAGGTAGACATCAGAAATACCTGCACAGCTCCAATTTTACCTGCACTAACCTGCATATACCCAGTACATGGACCAGTGCAGGTTAGGTGCAGGTAGACATCAGAAATACCTGCACAGTATTTAGCTTAGCTGTATCATATTTCATACCTGCATGTGCATTTTGAGGCTGCCGCTCTGCGTGAAGGTGGCCAGACACACGGAGCACTCGTAAGGCTTCTCGCCTGTATGGGTCCGCATGTGGCGCTTCAACTTGTAGCTGTCAGGGCTCGCATAGCTACACCTGGACAAACAACAACAGGGGACAGGTTAACATTTAGTGAACTCTTTGGTTCAAACTTCTAGGTAGTATTTTTAGAGTTTCTGTGAATTCATTTCCTCCTTGTACTCACTAAAAAACAGATCTGTATGTATTATGTATAGCCGGTATAACCACCCTTTGGCATAAGATGGCTCCCAGGCAGGGCTCGAAATTTATTTTTGGGAATAGGTGCACCCAACCTAAAAAATAGGTGCACAAGAAAGTTTTTGGGTGCACCATATGAAACAAAACCTAATTACAGATGTTACTGGTCCTCTTCTGAGCTTGAATGTGAAATGGGAGCTAATTTCAAAATCTTACAAATCAAGTACTACAACAAAGATTTTATTATTTTTCTGATACTTCAGATACCAAGAATATCCTGTATACTATATACATTCAATATGTACAAAAATACCTACAAAAATATTTTGGTGCACTGGACAGAAAAAAATTGGGTGCAAAGCTCCACTAAAGTATTTCGAGCCCTGCTCCCAAACAATGAATTTATAAACACAACCAAAGAAATGGTCGGATGTACTTTCAAAGTGTCTAGGACAGAAACTTTTCTTGCTTTACAATTTTCCCACTGGCTAACAGACTCCTGGCCAACTTCCTTCCAGGTCACAGGGTTCTCCACAGAAAGAAAGACACCTACACCAGTTGAAAGACAGCATAATTTAGAGAATAGAGGTCCACATCACAGTGTAGGGGCTTCTATGCTCAAACTATACGAGGGCCTAGGAAAAAAATGTTGTGTTTCCTGTTTCAGTCTTGAAAAAATTAGGGTCAGTAGGTAGGGATTATCTTTTTTCTTTATTTTATTACTTTTTTAATTTCTCAGTAGTGATTCAACTTATACAATACAGTTTAACAAAGTAAAACTTGCATGAAGAAAGTTATATTTTCAACGTCAATGTTGGAAAACTGATTGTACAACGTTTCATCACTCAGGTGGAGCAAGAAAAGGTCAATCAGCTCAAAATAGTTATGTCACTTGCACTGGGGTTCACACAAAAAAGGCTACGGTCGGGAAACAGGAAACACAACATTTTTTTTACTAGACCTAGCTGGCATGACACTGGCCGATATCAAGGGACTTGCTGTATATAAGCGTACTCACATGCCACACTGGAATGGACGCTCCCCGGTGTGAGACCTCATGTGGCGCTTGAGCTTGCTGATCTCGACACTGGCGTAGTCGCACATGGTGCACTTGTGGGGCTTCTCGTGCGTGTGCTTGTAGCGGCGGTGGCGCATGAGCTCACCGCTGGTCACAAAACTCATGGGGCACTGATCGCACTTGTGAGGCTTGACGCCATTGTGGCTGTTGATGTGGTTCTGGAGGGACTGCATGGTGCGGAACTCCCGCTCGCACGTGCCACACTTGAAGGGGCGCTCGTCCGTGTGGACCTTCATGTGGCGCTCCAGGAAGGCCATCCTCTGGCACGTGTAGTCGCACTTGTAACACTGGTATGTCTTCCCACCCACCCGCATCTTCTTGGGCGATCTCCCCTTCACCTGAAATACATAATGGTCATTATAAATATGATAATATTTTACTGACAGTAAACAATGCTGATGCAAATAGACCTTACATTCAGTGTTTTTTGTTCCTAACATAAAAAGAAAACAATTATTGCAATTTTCTAGTATGTATTGAAACATAGTTGAGAAAATTGCATTTAAAATGACTGCCTTAAAACTACACTGACTTTTTAATAAATGATTTAAGATCTGGCAGCATAAAGATAACAATATATGTGCTAGTGGGCAATATGAAGGACAAGCATGTTTGTGACATGATGAGTTTCTGTATGGATCTGTTGTCTCTAACCTTGGGAGTCATGGCGTCTCCTGCCTTGGAGCGTTTGCCGTCAGGCTTGTCTAACTCGTCAAAGTCGTAGACGGAGATGTCTCCTTCCTTGGTGGACTCGGCCCCTCCCTCCTCCCCCTCCTGCCAGTCCGGGTCTGCGGCGTTCCCGTCCGGCTCCTCCCCCTCCTGGTCCTCCCCCTCCCCGGCCTCCTCCTCCTCCCCATTCTCCACGGCCTGCTGCTGCTGCCCCTCCCCCTGCGCGATGTCCACGGGGACCAGCTCGTACATGACCGTGATCTGACCAGGCTGCAGCGAGCCCACCGCCTGCGTCGCCGTCACCTGCCCCTCGTCTGAACCGCTCTGCACGATGATGCTGACCGACCCCGAGGCCCCGCCCTCCGCCGCCATCTGCTGCAGCTGCGCCGCCACCTCCTCACTCACCACCTCGTGGACCTCCGTGTCCCCCTGGGTGGTGACGATTCGCACCTGCTGCTGCGGCTGGGTCTGCTGCGCGGCTGCTTCACCCGCGGCCTCCGCGGAGACGTACACCTGCTGGGCAGGCGCGGCTTCTTCCACAGCTGCAGTTTCAGCTGCGTCGGGTGCTGCTGCAGGTTCCGGGGCCTTGCCGGCCTCCTCAACACCTGGGGTCGTTTCCATTTCTTCAGGTGCAGCTGTTTCACCTGCACTCTCGACAGCAGCTGCTTCTTGAACAGCAGGTGCAGCATCTGTGGTACAATAACACGACATAATGTTAACATAAAATCCACATTCATACAAATGTAAAATATACAAGCACTCAAGCATCATTCCCCATGATATCTTACATTGTATATTACACATATTATTAAGTTCCCAGATGGCTAGCCTACAACTTTAATAATGTTAAATGTAACCCAACACCACAAGGTGTCTGCTCCAGCACCAGTTTAATACTATGGTGACAGACTTGATCCACGTCATTGACTTTATGTGTTCAGAGAACAAAAAGAAGAAACTGAGCAAAAACTAAGGTAAACAAAACAAAACCACAGGTGTGACACTTGCTGACACACCTGGTGCATCGTCTTTACCCTGCTGCCCGTCGGCGCCCCCCTCAGCCAGAGGTTTGACTTCCCCCGAGATCTCCTGATGGAACGTCTCCAGGTACGACTGCAGCTGTCCCAGGTCGTCCTGCTTCTCACCTGACACCTGCTCACCTGTAGCCTGCACCTGTTCAGCAGGTGCTTCCACCTGTTCAGCTGCCCCCTGTACCTGTTCGGCTGCACCGTCCTCGGCTGTTTGAAACAGACAAGGTAGACAATATGCATAATCAAACACTGGTCACTCTGAACTTTTGGGAAAAATTGATATTTTGAGACATAATTGGGTTCCTTTATGTCTATTTGTATAGCTGGTATAACTGCCCTTCAGTCAGCGTAACACACTAGCTTCAGCTTGTCAAATACTTCCTGAATTCCCCCACATACCCCCTAAGGTAGTCCCATGGCCTTTTTGAGGGGCAGTGGGTTGTTAATTCACTGAGTCTAGGACACTATTTGAAGGCCAAGCCCATTCCTCTGCTTCTATTGCCTTCTATGTCCCCACCCAAAGTCAGGTACCAATTTAAACATGGGTACAGTGAGAAAAGTTGTGTTTTGTTTATCAGGCACACGTCCCGGCTTTTGGATCCGGAAAAGTCCCCCGATTTTCCTGTCTACTCTGCAATTATGATTATAGTGCGCCTGCACTGGGAGTGAACATAAGCAAAATAAAGTTCAAGCTGAAGTCATACAATACTACAAACAGATTGGGACAGTTCATCCTCACTTTGGGACAATTGAAATTTATTTTGGGGACAGTGCTGGGACAATAGAAAGAAAAGTTAATTTCGAGGCCTGATACTCAGAAGTGAAATGTCCATTTGATGTTCCCAACCTGCAGCTGTAGCGTTGGGCTCGTCTCCTGCCTCCACTGGTGGAGGTGCGGGTGACTTGACTGGTGGAGCCTCCACTGCAGGTTTGGCTGGAGCCTCCGTCATGTCACCACTGCCCCCATCCTCCACTGTTGCCATGGTGACCGTCTGTCACACCTGAGGTCATCAAGATGATTGACAGTTGTCAAAACTGACAGTTGTCAAAACAGAACCAGTATATAAAGAGTGTTCAACTACTACTGTAATTCCCTTTATGTTCACGGTAGCAAAAGTAAACGGCCTGAGAAACATGGACATGTTCACGGAACTTTATATTCACAGTGGTGACAAAGTGCAGAAAAAGGAAGTCCAGATTTTATTTGTTAACTGTACTGATAACTTCACGATGACAGTGAAAACAGTGAACATAACAGTACTGTGAAAAAATCAGGAATTACAGTATACGGTGTGCACATAGTTCTCACTTCCTAAGCTATTTAGGGACTGTACGATATTTACCGGGGGGGAGGGCCGGTCGTCTGAGGGGGGAGGGCCTAGGAAAAAAATTTTGAGCCGGGGGAGGGCCTAGGAAAAAATATTTTAATTTGGGGGAGGGCCTAGGTAAAATTTTTTCCAAGATCCCTTTAACTCTACAACGTTTTTATACACTTTCAAAACATGATTAAACGTCTGTCCCATACATATTGTAGCGATTTTTCAGTCATTGGAATTGGCAGAATTTTACGTTCCAATAATATCCATCCCTATTATTATAATGTATTCGCCCAAATCTCCTACAGTCCCCTTCAAAATCTTGCATTTTCGCCAGAATCGGCGAAACTGGACTACACAGCCAAATTACATGGATTAAAGTCGCGTCAATCGAAACGATACCGATCAAAAATGTAGGGAAGGCTTGTCTGAAGATTTTGAAAATTAATTTTCGCCGTTCAACGCACCCTTCCCAGAGGTGTGCACGTGCGTGCGTGCGTCGGCAAAGGTCCCGCTGGTCCCGCCTCGCAACTCGCTCAAACTTCTCGGCGTGGATGTCGGATGTCGACGGATTAATTTGGTATTTTTCTTAAACCAAGGACTATTTTAACATTTATATCTATGTCCTTCCAAAGTTAATTGAAAACAACACGTAAGTTGGCAATATTGTTTCCCTGTTTGTAATAAAATTGACGCGGAAGAAGTTCGTGGACGAAAGGTAGGCTAGATAGAGGATTATTTCGATTACACTGACTGACCATAACGTTACTGACTTTAAATTTATAGCTCGATGTACCAGCGAAATTTGTGCTGCCAATTTTGCCCCTCAACATGCAAAACATGGGTTGAAATTCAAAATTTTTCCGGGGGGGACATGCAAAAAAAGCCGGGCCTACTCGGGCTCTAGTGGCGCCTGCGGCGCGATGGCTCGCGCCTTCGGCGCTTCATGCGGGGTAAATTTTCAATCAAAATCTCTTCCTCCCCATACGAAATTTCACTCTCTATGATTCACGCCGGGGGGAGGGCCTAGGAAAAATTTTTTGAGCCGGGGGGAGGGCCTAGGAAAAATTTTTTTGACCTGGGGGGAGGGCCTAGGAAAAAATTTTTTACGCTACCCCCGGACGACCGGCCCCCCCTCCCCGGTAAATATCGTACAGTCCCTTAAGCATAGGGGGCCGCCCCCTAGGCTGTGATTTGGGCTCCATTCGCTGTGATTTGGACCCTTATGCTGTATTCCAACCAGTATAGGGGTGTTTTTTGTGGGAGAACCTTCATAAATTTTGGAAAAAATGAAAGTATAATTTTAGAATGAAGCTATAGCAAAGAGAAAACCGTAACTTCACAAAATCTGTATCTCAATAACTTAAGCGAGAAATTGTGTCCAGTTACCAAAGTGTTGTTTTGGGTGGCGAGTCAAATGCTCCTTCAAATAATTTCCCGAGTCTAGTTATAGCAAGGAGGTTTTTAAAAACTTTGAATAAAGATTTCTTTATGGGTCCAGCAAAACTTATATCCAAATCTATATTAGAAGTGAAATGTTATGTAGGAAGGCAAATGCTGTATAGCAGGTGATCTGTAGTACTACATGGAAAGATCCTAGTAAAGTTCTACCTAACATGTTGATGATAGCATTCTGCCTAACTCACTGTTTGCCTAACTTGGCTTGGGCTACACATGTACTGAGTACAGGAATAACAAGGAAAATCGTAGATTTTGTACCTCCGGGTATTGAAATGTATGTTGCAGAATGTTGGGTGCATGTTAGGACTGTTCTTTAAATTAGTGAATGGTGTCTGGGTGTGTGTGTGTTCACGCGAATACCACGTGACACAACTATGCAAGAGGAAGCTACGCAACTTGACACCTGTGCGAACAAGAACAATATGATTATGAACGGGGATAAGTCCTATGAGTTGAGACTGTGCTTTTCAAAAAATCCACCTGTTCCACCTCCCCTCATAGCCTGACTAAATCGCGCTCCTGGCGGCCGCCGCCCTAAGGTTGCCGCCCCCTTCTTGGGGTGGGGGTCATTAACCTCCGGCCGAGAGCTTGTATACACAGGCTACCTCAGCGACCAGCGATCAACTCCAGTGCGCGGAACGGAACTTGCTCTCGAAAATGTATCAAGCCGCTACGCTTCCCCCCGCGGCTGCCATCCCTCCCCACTTATCCCACACTAGTTCAAATCACGTAAAAAAAACCCATCAAAACATGCACAGAAGCGTGTTCATATCTTTCATGTTACGGTTAAAACTTAGAACCTCATTTTGAGCGAACGTTACAAACACGAGACAAAATAATATTTTCGAAAACAAATCGCAATCTTATCAGCAAGGTTTCATTGATTCCTGTTAGATTTAACCGGTACCAAACCGCGGCAGGCAGCTAAGAACAGCGACATATTTGCCACGGTTAGCACAAGTGGCGGTGATATATTCAGGTCGTGCCGCCATGTGTTTGTTTAGATATCAGTGTGAATAGCAGCCCTGTTTCAGACACGGCCGGCCTGCCGGCGTTTCCGGCACGGGCACGATAATGCTGACACCCCTCTGTGTGAAAGGTCAGATCAGTGGTCGCGACCTCAATCGTCCTTATACATGCAAAGGTCAAAAGCTGAGGCCCACTTTCACACTGAAAGGGGTGTCCATCGGCGGTCTAAACGCATCATTTTGACGCACTAAAACACACATACTAAAAAACCAAAACAACGTGCACCATCTACAGCCCAACAGCAAAACGTATACCAACTCCCAGACATATCCGTCCACCCAAACGCGAGAAACGGGTGCGAACGCAATTTTCGTCTTCCCTCACAAAACCTCCGCGCTCGGGATGTACATCCCTACCCGGAGGTAAAAACCTAGTGGAGGGAATATTGTCAGTCAGTCAAGTTTGTTGCCAGTAGGCAAAGGCAGAGCTCTGTTCCATAGCAGTCGGTAACATTTGCTTCCTTAGGCTACACCAATTTAATTTCTTGTTTAACGGATTCGCCTGCTTCATTTTTTTCTGATTTGCAAAAAAAAATTCTGAATCAACTGCAAAATGGTCATATTTTACCCTGAACAGCTGAAAACAGTCCTTTTCTTCCTAGTTGTTACAGTTATTCCATCTTTCAGTTTCAATGCAATAGTATCAAAGTTCAAAATTCATTGTTTAGATTTTGAATCAGCCTGGTGTGTTGACTTCATGGCCCCTATCGTACCATTTTTGGGCATAATAGGATGCCTAGGACTGTTTTTATTACCTTCGCCAAGAAGGTTATGTTTTCAGTAGCGTTTGTCCGTCTGTCTGTTTGTCTGTGAACAGCATAACGCAAGAAGCTTAGTATGCATTGTCATGAAACTTGGTAGGTGGGTAGGTCTTGATAAGACCTAGAAATGATTAGATTTTGGGCCCCCTGGCGGCTTTTGTTGGTACTGCAGCAGAACTTCCGGTTTTGATATCTCGCAATCTGGACATGTCAGGGTCACGAATTTTAGTTGGTAGATAGCTCTTGGGGTAGGGAAGAAGTGACATAAGTTTGGCCCCCCTAGCGCCTTGTTCTGGAACTGCAGGAGCATTTGTTGAAAAATTTTCGAAGGATGATAACTCAAGAACCGGTGGACGGATTGTCATGATTTTTGGTATGTAGGTAGCTGAAGTGATACTTGACACAATCAAATGACAGTTATGCAAATCAGGAGCTAATTTGCATAATTAATGAGGAAATTCTATAAATCTGCTTCGTTCGATAATAGGACTATGAAACACGTGTGACATGTAGTAGAGAACGAAAAAAACATCTGAGGATATAGATTATGTAAATGAAGACCTAATTTGCATAATTAATGAGAATATTTTATAATTTCATAGTTGTAACTTCTGGGAATTTCATACTTGCCACATTTGGAAGTTAAGTGAAGGCGAACATCAATAAACATAGTTTATTCAAATCATGACCTCATTTGCATAATTTATGAGAAAGTGCTATAATAGCCTTTTTGTGAAGATAGGGTTGTCATTGGGTGGAAAATATGATCAACTGATATAATCCATGCTAATGAGGCTCTTACTTTCAAAATCAATGATTAAAATTGTATGATTCTTCAACCGCAAGGGTTAACATCATTTGGCGAAGGTATGAGATCGTGGAACTCTTGTTTTTTATTTTTTTCGCCCGCCCGCTCCATTATTTTTCTAGAAAAATCTGTTAACCAAGAAATTAAATTGGTGTGGCCTTACATTTAGTTTACATTTGGCACCAAAAAATTGAAGGTCTCGTAGTGTCATACTAGTACTTCCATAAAATACTTAACAGTTATTTAATTGTGAATTTCTTGTTTCAGTCATTTATATTATAAGGCCAAAGCAAGTTATTTGTATGGATGACATCAGCACACGCATTCATTTTTACCAGATTTTGGGGAAAGAACAAGAAATTTTGATGCCCTCTGACAGTGGTCAACATGCCGAAAATGTCAGCTGCCATGCCGGAATGTGGATGGCAGCTAAAAAATAAAGTAAATATGAAAAGAGGAGACAAGAAAAGTGTATGTTGGTGATGCTTCTTATTTTCCATGGTAAAATTGTGTGTTGTATATGCTGTGTGCATGAGGATAGGGGGCTATGAGTATAGTGCTGTGTACCTAAACCCACATTTAGGTGCAGGTCCAGATTCAAGTCCAGAGGTTTAGCTTCAGTTCCGGACTTGTAAGTCCAGACCTAAACCCGTGGCATATACAGACATGTTGGCAACCGTGCAATGTTGTTTAGGCAAAATTTGGCCACATCCATTTTGTAACATGGAGGCTGACACTTGATGATGCCCGATGACAATCTTTTCATCATTTTGCAGCACAGATTGTGCAATCTATGGAAGGTTCTTGGTGGTTTGGAAAGAAAAGGGGGTATGTGACATGTTTTATTTGTGTAATAAGTCCAGACTCGGTTCTTGACTTTTAGGTTTTATTGTACTTAAACCTAAACATTTTACGAAGTCCGGAACCAATCCAGCGAACCGGTACACATCACTATATGAGTACTAGTATTATAATATGAATGATTTACAGGCATAATCCAACATGATTTTCAACCTTCAGTCGACAATTTAATATTCTATGTACAGTATTGAGAGAAAAGTCAAACCAAGACACACAAAACAAAAACAACCTAAGCCTTCACAGGGCTTTAATACAACAATAAAATGTATCTATTGAACTGATTTCCTCATATGGGGGGGGGGGGCATGATTTGTTGAAATTTGCGACACTGTGACTGTGTGAGAAATACAGATACGGCCAAATTATTATTTATCAAAAGTAGCTCAAGGTAAAAGCACATTACCATGATTTTCATTCCGTTCCAAATCGCACCGTGCGTGTGTTCAGCTTCTCAAAATGTACGGCCGCATAATTTCAGTCAATGCAGAACAATAAATAAAATCCCCCGCTCATTAGCATATTCTGCTGCAGCGAGAATAGAACGCCGCCCAGATTTTTCTAAAAAAAAAAGGAGATTTTACAAAATTATGCATCATAACACAACTTTTCGTGTAGGAAAACAACACCTGGAACTAGCTGCCCAAGCGGTCCAGATAAGATTAAACACGGCCTCTCCAGTCTGCACGGAAATATTAACCCAAGCCGACGGGCGAGCTGCACGCCCAACCAAGACGCCATTTTTGCCAGGCCATTTTCCCTCCTCAAAAAAACCCAAACCACGACCGCCCTTTTGTTGTCTTCCCCTCCGAAATTTCTGGCTGGATGTCGAGTTTTGCACCGGCGGATCGTATGGTGGCGTGGCGCAGGAAATGTTGGCGGAGGCTTTCCCCGGGACCGATGTTTGTTGGCAGAGCCCCTCGCGCGGCAATACCAGCTCCGCTGAAACGC